CAAGGAGACATTGGTCCCTGATTTACATAATGCCTGGGATAAAAGTTCATTCATTTAGAATGAATGAGTTCATTCTTGAGTTCATTCATTTAGAAATCCTTTTGGACAGAACTCACATGCATGATTTTCACATAATTTTGGAGTCCTAAGAAAACTCATCTTTGTTCTTTGTTCTTGCTTTCCTGTCACTGAATGGAGAAAAGGAAGATTTATTTTACAGTAAGTAAAATAAAGTCTTGAATCATTCCACAACTTCTGACACCTTTATCAATGCAGTAGAGAATTTATTTTCCTTACTACGTCTGAGTTTGGAGATTAGCTACACAATTTCTTTTGACCAATGATGTCCCTGGCTCAATGAGGGGACAGAGCTTAAGGATTGAAGGTATTTAATATATATTTATAGCTGTGACGTGCAGTGAAGCTTATGGCTGGTGAGGCAAAAAGAAAGAAAGTGGCTCCCCCCGGCATCATCTTTTTCTGTAATATCCCATAGTCTGTCCCATTTCTTGTAGAATTTCTCAAATCCTTCTGAGATGTTTTGAAGTCCAGCCAAATTGTTTTGAATTAACAGGTTTTCTTCCTCTGAGTATTGCTCCATTTTTTAGAATAAGGAATAATATAGGGAAAGAGCAAGAAGAGGAATTTGGTACAATCTGCCACTCCAGCCTATCACAGATTTTGAAGAATATATCTATTTTTATTTTAGACGAATGTTCTTTTATGGTTTTCAAACAAGAAGGGTTCTGAAGTTTTACTTTCCTTTTCCAATACTTGTCAAAGTATTTTCCACACACCACTATTTGTAACCTTGAGTCTTTATCAAGTTTTAAAGAGATGTTCCAAATCCTTTTGTTGCGCCGTCACAGTCAGTATAGTCACATAAGAGTGAACAAAGAAAACATTGTTACAGCAGCAAAAGAAAAAAAGCTTCAGATTTGGGCTTTCAAGTGGCAGATTTGATTCTTTTAAAATCTCTTTCCTTAAGTATCTCCAATATAATATTGCAAGAAGTAGAAGAAGAAATATATTGAAGTAAAAAGAGTTTTAATTTAAACCAAAAAAGGAAAATAAGGAAAAAAAGAGATCCCCTCACCTCAAAAGGAAAAAAATAGGAGCGTGGCAATCACTCAATCCACAAAAGATTACAAGCAAGAGCAAAAAACTTTTTAAAGCAGTCCAATGGGGATTAAGTACGCTATAGTTTCATTTTCTCTTTTCTACCATGATAGTAATGGACTATTTTTAATTCCAGTTTGTTTCTAAAACNCAATGTGGTGACTAAAACTGGATGCAGACTTCTAGGTGTGGTCCTACTAAGGCTTTATAGAGTCGTATTTTTTACCTCATGTGATCTTGATTGCAGCCCTCTGTTAATGCTATTTAGGATTGCATTGGCTTTTTTGGCTGCCACCTTCAGTGCATTAATCTCATAGTTTTCCTTGTAGTCTCCTTACATGGTGGACTTTCACAAAATATTCCAGTCTTAATAAAAGTGAAGGCAGACTCTTTCTCTTTTTAGCAGAAATGGCAGGTTTATATTCTTGCAATTAAAACAAAGGCTTGCAAAATTTCATCCCTTCTCCAAAGAGATTCAAACACAGAGGCAAGGATCAGGCAATTATAATTTTTGGAAGGGCTTCACTGGAGACAGAACATGAAGGGAAGGGCACATCTGTATTCAGGGAAACCTTTTCATATTTTCTCCCCTTACCATGGCCATTTGAAAAGAACCTCAAACCCAAATGCTTGATGAATCACAATTGGGATTATAATCTCCTGAGATGTGAAATTTTGCTGAGAGCTTTACGCTAACCATTATGGAAATAATAATAAACTAATCATATCGCAGAAATGAGACAATATCTAATGACACTTGATTTATTCCCTACCCCATTCCCACACAGAGTGTAGAGTCCATGGAGTTTCATGTGGCAACACTTCCCACAAGTGTCCACAGTGAGGAGGGGAGGCATCTTCCTAATATTTCCTCAATATCTATATGGCAGTTTGGATATTTAGAAAGATTATGCTATAATTTCATTTCCTCCTTTCTACCATAATAATAATGGACTGTTTTTAATTCCAGTTTGTTTCTAAAACCAGATCAAGTTGTAAACAGTGATGTTAAAACAAACTACGGAGATGATATTCATTGATTATAAATTAATTATTTCTAGAAATAAATAACTTTAAGTTCTAAAAATAATTAAGTTTCCTGTATATTTCACAAACAAGTCTACTGCTAAATCAGACATGACTTACGGTACTCTCTGCATTGAGGGTTGCATGGGTATTTCTCTGGTGGCACAGTGGTTAGAGTGAAGTATTGCAAGGAAACTCTGCCCACTTCCAGAAGGGCTCTGCTGGAGACAGAACATGAAGGGAAGGGCACATCTGTATTCAGGGAAACCTTTTCATATTTTCTCCCCTTACCATGGCCATTTGAAAAGAACCCCAAACCCAAATGCTTGATGAATCACAATTGGGATTATAATCTCCTGAGATGTGAAATTTTGCTGAGAGCTTTACGCTAACCATTATGGAAATAATAATAAACTAATCATATCGCAGAAATGAGACAATATCTAATGACACTTGTTTTATTCCCTAGCCCATCCCCCACTGAGTGCAGAGGCCATGGAGTTTCATGTGACAACACTGCCCCCCAGTATCCAAAGTGAGGAGGGGAGACACCTTCCTAATGTTTCCTCAATATCTATATGGCAGTTTGGATATTTAGAAAGATTATGCTATAGTTTCATTTCCTCTTTTCTATTATGATAGTAATGGACTATTTTTAATTCCAGTTTGTTTCTAAAACCAGATCAAGTTGTAAACAGTGATGTTAAAACAAACTATTTTTTTTCCATTTTTCATTTTCTTCAAACAAACTCTCTCATTGGATTCCCAGGACAAAATAGTCCAAAATTCTCTCTGGATTGTGCCGAATCAAAATTCACTAATCCATCGTTTTGGGCTAAAACAAGTTGAAGGGCTGCTCTGAAGGAAGGAAAGTTCTTCCATGGCCTCAGATTCCCTTCCCCTCACTTTGTGTCTCCGACTTAGTAATGGTTTGCCTTGTCTTCAGCTTTGAGGCTGTTCATTTACAGATACAACATTTTTTTTGCATCCTCCCTGGAGATGATGAAGGGCCCCTTCACTTTGTCTGAGTAGTGTGTGGTAGCAGATGAGATTGTAGCTATTGCTGCCACCCATTCAAGTCCTTTCCATGGAGCCTGTTTCATCCAGCCCATTCTACAGCTGCGGAAGGTGAATCCAGAGGCTTTGCAGGAGAGACGGAGGGACTCCCCAGGACTTCTCACATCCCCTCCAGACTCCACCAACAGGATTTGAGATTGAACTCCTAAAAACAAAAGAGTTTCAATGAAGCCTTCTATATACAAAAACAGAATATGGAAGAAAATAATTTAAAGAGGGGGAAAAAAACTACCTTGAATGAACACAAACAAGGGCACCCAATTCACCCATGGGATCATTTTTACTCCATTTATCGAATGGAGGGATTGGAAAGCAAAGAATTTAGGAACCGCACAAACTTTGTGTTGGTGGGTACAGCCTGAAAAGGGAAACCATGCAGCTTCTTTAAAGGGGAAATCATGTTCTGATTTACATATTGATTGGGATAAAAGAGCTCATCTGTCCATTTACTTAGAGATTAATTATTTAATTAAACAAAAAAGATCAGATCTGAGATTCCATATTGTATACGGAGATATACATTCCATTTCTCACTTTAAATATGCAAATTCGACTTTTTGATTTAATTCAGAAAGCTGCGCAGAGGGGGAAAAATAGTTTTTGCTTGGCATCCAATTCACTTCCGCTCACTGTGTATTTTGCACAGTATTAAACTGCAGAATCCTCTACTTTGAGGCTGTTCATTTGCAGATACAGCTGGCTGCGAGAATCGTCCCTGGAGATGGTGAAGCGTCCCTTGACTTTGTCTGGGTAGTAAGTCTTATGAGATGAGCCTGCATTTATGCGAGCCACCCACTCCAGTCCTTTCCCTGGAGCCTGTCTCGCCCAGCTCATGTGAGAGCTTCTGAAGGTGAATCCAGAGGCCTGGAAGGAGAGATGGAGGGATTCTCCAGGTCTTCTCACATCCCCTCCAGACTCCACCAACTGGACTTGAGATTGGACTCCTAAAACCAGAAACATTTCAATTTAACCTTCTGTATAGAAAAAGAGAAAATGAAGGGAAATTCTTTAAAGAGGGCAAAAATTACCTTCAAGGAGCGCTAACAAGGGCACCAAATTCAGCCATGGAATCATTTTCACTTCCTGTAATGAATGGAGTGAATTGAGAGAAAATAATTTAGNGAATCATCCCTGGAGATGGTGAAGCGTCCCTTGACTTTGTTAGAGTAGAAAGTCTTAAAATATGAGCCTGCATTTATGCGGGCCACCCACTCCAGTCCCCTCCCTGGAGCCTGTCTCTCCCAGTTCATGTAATAGCTGCTGAAAGTGAATCCAGAGGCTTGGCAGAAGAGACAGAGGGTCTCTCCAGGTCTTCTCACATCCCCTCCAGACTCCACTAACTGGACCTGAGATCAGACTCCTAAAACCAAAAACATTTAAATGAAACGTCCTATATAGAAAAAGAGAATATGAAGGGAAATTCGTTAAAGAGGGCAAAATTACCTTCAAGGAGCGCTAACAAGGGCACCAAATTCAGCCATGGAATCATTTTCACTTCCTGTAATGAATTGAGTGAATTGAGAGAAAATAATTTAGGAAAATGCACAGACTTTGTCTGGGTGGGTGTAGCCTCAAAAGAGAAATCAAGTGGATCCTTTAAAGGGGAAATTTTGCCTTCATTTACATATGGCTTCAGATAAAAGGGCCACTCAGTGCATTAATCTCACAGCTTTCCTAGTGGGGAACTTTCACAAAAGATTCCAGTCTTAATAAAAGTGAAGTCAGACTCTTTATTTCTTAACTGTAAATTCAGAGCAGAAATGGCAGGTTTATATTAGAGGAATCAAAACAAAAACTTGCAAAATTTCACCACTTTGCCAAAGTGATCCAAAGGGAGAGGCAAGGAACTTGCAATTATAGTTTTTGGGAGGGTTACGCTGTAGAGGCATATCTATATTCAGGAAAAGCTTTCCAGTGTTTCTCCCCTTTCTCATGCCCTTTTTTTGGGGGTGGGGGGGAAACTCTACACACACCAAAATCTGAATGAAGATCAACTGATGAAGCCCAATTTCTATGTCTGGGTTAGTAGATTTGCTACAGAGTTCCTTCCTGACCAATGTTTACCTCCCATGCTTCAATGCTACTGAGGGGACAATGCTTCAGGACTGAGGACACTGAATATATATTTCTAAAGAAGGGATGTAACTGGAGCAACATCTAAAACAATTAAAACAAGGAGAATTGGCGACATTGAGATTGAAAGGACTCAGAATTGTATATTTATATGTACGTGCATACGTACGTATGTACGTATGTATGTATGTATGTATGTATGT